TTGAGTTTGTCTTCTTACTTTTTTCTCTTCTGAACATCAGATGCCCTGAAATGGTTTAATCATAATCCGTGGGTTAAAAACACATCCTTCATTGGTACATGGATTGTCTTTCTTCATTTATACATTCATTCACTTATATAAAGAACATATGTGAAGCCACCACTCTTCCCAAGACGAAAGCTTCAACAGGAATATATCTACTTGTGCATTCATTCTCCCATCTTGTTCCCCAGGGTTCCCTGCTTCTCTTTGTACTTCAGGGGTAACCACTACCTTGAACTTTGCTTTTGAATATTATAAACAAGATGTCATATTATGTCACTAAAATTTACTCATGTTGTTTATACCTGTAGTTTCTTTCATGTTTTGAAAATATTTAGTTTTAGTTGGTTGTCCCTGCTAGTTAAATAATATTTAATTTTGATTATACAAGTTTAAGAAAGTTAATGTAACTAATGATGATGCAGATCAGCCTTCACAGTTTAAACTGAAGAGAGATGTGCATGGAGACTAAGATATTAGACAAAATTCAAAGAAAGTTTTTAAATTACTATGACAAACAAGTTAATCATTAACATCTTGGTCATACTAGACCGAAATGATTCAGACTTCATATTTTTTGTCTTTATCAGTCATTAGTGAAACATGTCAAACTTACTTAGTTCACTGTAGATATGCTATTGTATGCCTAAATATTAAATTTTAGCAAATCTAAGCCAAGATGTCAGTGATATCTGGAAAAACACTAAAATAAAGCACCATTTTGTTCAAGTTTCATAGTGATTATGCAGATGGTTAATTTCTATGTGACCAGAGGTACAGGGATGATTCATATTTATAACTTGCGAAATTACTCAGGACAGATTTAGCTAGTTACATTTCAAATTGAAAAGCAAATAAGTAATTTCAAGTAAATGGAATAAACACATTTTTAAGAACTGCTTTAAATATCTTGAATATTTTTATCTTTGGTTGTATTTTTACTTTAGTCCACTTTCACTATGCACAGCTTTACTCTCTTATTACCCCAGTTCATCCTTTTAAACTATCATCCTGCTCAACATCTGTCGCATTTAGTATGAACAACTTATTTTCCACCCTCATCTTCTGTCAATCACTCTTCCAAACTCTGTACTCTAGAACTGTACTGTCCAATAGTCACTAGCCATATGTCGCTATTTTGATTTTAAAATTGTTTCCCTGTTTGCATTAGCCACTTTTCAAATGTTGTATAGTCACATTTTTCATCATCTTCACTGTTATTACCTAGTCCTTATTAACATCTTTCCTCGGGATTTTTGTAGTTGTCTTATACTTGGTTACTCTACTTCTACACTTGCATCTCTATGCTGTTTCCAACCCAGTAGCTAGAATGATTCTTTCATATTATATGTACATATATATATGTGTGTGTGTGTGTATGGATATAAATTATGTACAGTTTAGTATGTGCCAGTTACTACTCTAAGCACTTTACAAATGTCAACTTATTTACTCCTCATAAAGATCCTCTGAGAGAGAAACTATTATCCCTGTTTTACAGATGAGGAAAATAAGGCACAGAAAGACTAAGTAATTTGCCCAAAGTTGCCTGGCTCATGAAACACATATCATGTTACTTCTCTGTTTAAAATACTTCAGCAATTCCCCATCTCAGTTATAGTACAAGCCGAAGTCCTTCCAAAGACCAAAATGCCTAAAAGACTAGATGTGATCTGCATTCTTCCTATACTCATTTTCTTCTATAGCAATTTATTTATTCTCTTGTGTATCTCTCCCCAAATGAATTAAACTCCGCCAGGGCAGGCAGGGATTTTGGTCCCTCTCCCCACTATCAATTTTTTTCTCAGTGCCCAAAACAAAGCCTTGCTAGCAGGCACTTTAAATAATTGCTGCACAAATAAACATATCCCTTCTCATTTACTCCAAGTGGAAATAAAGTTTAAGGAAAGAGGTTAAAAGCAGAGATTTCAGAATTCCTGAATTTTAGAACTGTATAAATTCAGTTTTATTTATGTGTTGTAATCCTTAGGACTTACTATCTTGTGAGTGTTCATAAAGTCAAACAATATTAACAAAGTCATAAGTTGTGTAAAATTAAAATTTATGAGCATATACAAAACTCCACTTAATAATGGGTAAATTACTCAGAGAAAGAATAAAAATGAAAAGCACCACTCTTTTGTTATTTAAATGTGACAGGGTAAAAAAAAAAACACCTTGAGAGGGAGCGCCTATAAGAGAGTAGATTTTGATGGGTTTAATGACCATTGAAGTTCAATGGATTGTCTGGTACTCTAAATGTCCAAGAACAAAGCATTGACTTTGGGGCAGTCCTAGCAAATCAGCGACTGTGGCCAGTTCTATTCCAAGATGATCACTCCCTTGATTAATATATCTGAAAAACAATTCAGTGAGTACAGTACCTTTAATATTTTTCAGACCCAGTAAACACCAATGGATATCCATCAGAAATAATAATCGAATATAATTTTAAACTTTGGTAGTGGTCAGTTTCAAGAGCTGAATGCTGTTTCATATTATTGCATTCTTTTTTCAACTTCCTCTTCTGATATGTGTGCATCTGAGGTTCATTTGCTTCATTTTTTTTTTTTTTAATACATTAAACTTCTCAAACCTGCAGCATTGGGTTTTCCTTTGGATGAAAGAAAAAGTTATGCTGGGTATACTTAGAACATTTTTTAAACATATTTTTTCCCCATATTCACAAAAACCATCTAGCTAATTTGTAAACATGCTCACTTCTGGGTGCCATTCTCAGAGATCCTTATTCTCTAGGTTTGAAAGTGGAGTCCGGAAACCTACGTTTCAGACCTTTCGTTGAGAACTACTCGACTCAATGCTATTTCATATTTTGCAACTTTCAAAATATTAATTTTAGAAATCCAAAGAGGGGAAGGCAAACTCCAGTGACTGTCCGAAGAAACAAGACTGAGTAGCTCATGTTGTGCCATATTGTAAAACTTTCCCTCAGTTTGCAGATCTTCTGTCCCTGGAGAGGAAATCCGTTCATTTTCACCGAGTAATTAACAGTCTTTCAACCAGTTCCGTCAAGTCTCTCATGATCCCCAAAAGTCATGAGCTCATCTCCACGGCATAACGTAAAGCTCCTTTCGTCCCTCGTGCCCTTACAGGACCGCCGGGACCGGGTTCGCTTCCCGCCACAGG